CTGAGACAAATGCGTTTGTCCCGATGTGGAACTGCTTTCCGAATGAAAGGTGGTAGAAGGAATGAAGGTTTGAGCTGATGTATTCAAGCAAAAACCCGTACTGGTCCCAGGTATGGTTGGTAGGGGGGTGTTGGCCTTTGTAATGTTGGTGGTAACTTGGGTGCCAAAGGGACTGGAGTAATTAATGGGGGGAGCGTTAATTGGCAACATAGGTGGAATTGTGTTGGTCTCGATAGCAGGGGTGTCAATAATTTCAGGGTGGGTTGCAGTGTAAATGGGCTCAGGGGGGATATTGGTGTTGATTACCGAGGGGGAAGTGGTGCTGATGGTCTCAGGGGGGGTGTTGGTTTCTGGGGGGGACATGGTGTTAATGGTATCCGTGTCCTCAGGGGGGGTGTTGGTGTTGATATCCGGGGGGGTGTTGGTGTTGATGGTCTCAGGGGGGTGTTGGTGTTGATTTCCGGGGGGAGACATGGTGTTGATGGTCTCAGTGTTCTCAGGGGTGTGTTGGTGTTGATTTCCGGGGGGAGACATGGTGTTGATGGTCTCAGTGTTCTCAGGGGGGTGTTGGTGTTGATTTCCTGGGGGAGACATGGTGTTGATGGTCTCAGTGTTCTCAGGGGGGATGTTGGTGTTGATCTCCGGGGGGGATACGGTGTTGATGTTCTCAGGGGGGGTGTTGGTTTCAGAGGGGAGAGTGGCAGTTTCAATGTGTAATGATTTAACAAATGCTTGTTGCTCATGCAAAAACAAGTTTATCTTTCTGATGCAATTGTAAACTGCTCTGATAATAGCATCGACTTCTTCTTGGATTAGGTTAACTTGCTCTTGTGTTTCAATCGAGCCAAGTTTTGCCATGTTATCACATATTATGTTCAAAATTGACTGTAGATCATTCTTATCTAGTTGTAAAGCTGCCATATTCACATTTTCCAGTTTGAAACTCTCATCAACGACTGTGATTAGTTCATGAATTCTACAAATGTCATTCTTTAGGGCAACTTTGACAGGCCCAGCACTTTGTCGTCTAGCTTTTTGTTCGATTGTTGTCTTTACACTAACAAATACACTCCTAGCTTCTTCATAGCACCTTTTTACATTGTCTCTGTAAGTCATAATGTCTTCACCATTAACTACACGGTGTTCAGCGTATTTTTCGTCAGATACAATGAGTTCGTATTCCTCATTTATAACGCAAAAATCATCAAATACCTTTTCAAGTTCGAACATTGAATCCTTTAAAATATCATATTCACAATCTCTGTTGTAGGCTCCGATCAGACGCCTCGCAGCGACAGTGACCGCCATTTTAGCCTTGCTTCTTTCTTGTTTTTTATCTTCAACATTCATGGCTGATTCCTGGATTTGTCTTCAAGCAATACACAAGTTTTGGGCTGCAAAACTCCTTTGTATTTAGGCTTCTTCACAATTCTGGAATGCCACAGCAAACGTTAGTGTTTTACTGTACTGGGATTGCCAGTAAATGAGGCGAAAAACAGGTTTCAACTCACTTTAATTATAAAAATATGGAAAATTACAAAATAATAGATTTAGGTAAAACACTGTTTTCCTTCGCACGCCATTTTAGCTCCTATGCGCATGCTCTAACAAAACGTAAATAAACATCGTTCAAAAGGCGATCGCGGAGATTATTGTCTACAACTTTAGTCTTTACTCCAACCCAATACACATACAAATAACTTATTGCTTTTTTTTATTTAAAAAATTCAATATAATAAAAAAGGGAATCAATATATTAAAGATAAATGAAATTATATGCTGTCTTGTTTAGTTGTTTCATATACACAAAGGCCGTCGGGTTTTAAAGCAATTATAAAATCAATATTTAAAACAAACTTACCTTCGTTAACGTCGGCTCCATTCTTTTAGCCGATTCTTTCGCCCTTTCTTTTTGAGAAAGCTTTTGAATAAATTTACAAAATCTTGCGAATATGCGAGCAAAAATGAAATATATTTGCAAGAAATTTATCAATCATCAAATCAAGAAATGTTTGCTATTTCGCTGTCGTCATGCAGTCGTTATGATGCAAACTTTAAATTGGACCAATCAGTGTCCGCTATTCATGACAGATCGCCATATTTTTGAGATCAGTGAGGATGACCACCCACCGAAACATCGCTGGTGAGCCACCCCCGCGATGATTGATGAACTTTAGACTTCGCTAATGCTTTCGTTTCCCCGGGTGTAAATAGCCGGGGGGGGGGGAGATTCGTACCCTCGCACGGCCCTTCGCGCCGTCGGCTCGGGGAATATTTATTTTGAATTTTTCAGAATATCGGGTTGTTACTCGCACGCCCTTGCCACACGCTAAAATTGGCCAATAAGGGACCAGTCATAAAGTAAAAGGCGTAGTGGGCTGGGAAAAATAGGGGGGTGGGTCACTATTTTTGAGCACGGTTGAAGGGGTGGGTCATCGAAAGTTAATTGCAATCATAAGGGTGGGCCATGTGAAAATATGCAGAAATTTTTCAAGGACACATATGTTAAAATTCATATTATAAAAATAGAAATAAAATGTATCAGGATCCATGTGTAGAATTTATACAGTAAACGTTAACCTCAAATTTAAAAGCTGAATTTATTGTCTTGCTAATCAGTGGCGGACACTAGGGGGTCCGAGCCCCCCTCCCCCCCCCTCTCAATAATTTTGAAAGACTGTAAAAATCTTGCACCAAATAACACAAATCACACTCATATAACGTAATTGTCGTCATAATATAATGATATATGTTTCTGTACTGTACATGTCGCAACATACGCATTTTATACACTCTTTTTGACAGATACTAGGGGGTCAACTTTTTGCAACAGGCACTTCTTTAAATGTTTTTGTTGTTTCAGAAGCTTATACCATTGTTTCGCGGCGAAATGTCCTGCTGCACAATATTATTTGAATGCGTATTAAACTATTATGCTCAAAAACAATGGATAATTCAATTAATATCATCACTTAGCAAATACATTTTTACATTGTCATTGGCGTGTTAATTAAATTAAAGCACCTTGTAATTCCATTCACAAATGTAAATAATCATGTAAATATTTTCTCTGCAATGTTGGTTTTCTATACTTATCATGTGATTTATAACAAAACGCACCATTAAAACAGTGTTTTGAAAACCTAGTTTTTTACAAAATGTGGTCTCAGAATGCTGCCAATGCCATTTCCGGCATTCAAATTTTAAAATTTTTCTATGCCTTCGGCACGAGCCCCCCACGAAGATGTCGTAAAGTGTCCATCACTGTCGCTAATACGTTAGTAGTTGTTATCTGATTTTCTGATATTATTGTTAAATGTCACAAGCTTTGTGCAGGATGTTTATTATGTAACAAAATTAGTGTAATTTCTACGAGAGCGTAGTTAAATCACAATTATCGTTAGCGGTTTTGCATTAGCCGTAAATGTCAAACTAAAGATCTTTAATTATGAGCTGAAAGATACTGCAGCATGCATGCAAAGTTCCATGCAAAGAAAGCCCTTTCTGCATTTAATTGCACCACTTGAATAGCTATTGAGTATTGAAACACGAAATTATTTGGCAACAGAAAAATGGAACGCTGGTATCTTTCGCCTTTCTTAAAGGGTGGGTCATAATTTTTCAGCATCAATTTAAGGGTGGGCTACAAATTTTCGAGCATGCAGCTATTAAGGGGTGGGCTACCAAAATTGAAGATACCAGATCTATGATTTTCCCATCCCAACCCCCTTTTACTTTATGACCGGTCCCTTAAATGAGCACCGTAGCCCCGATGCAGGTGCAAATCACGCTACATGAAGGGGTAATTTGACCTTTAGAATCGATTTCCGACGTTTCTCGAGTGCCAGGATGTAAGCATCGCATTGTTCAATATGTCAAGCCTCTGATGTCAAGCTTTGTCAAGCTGTATTTCCGGTCGAAGCTCTCGCGTAAAATTTAGATATTCTGAAATACCGAAATAAAAGTTGCAAATCTGTAGATAGAAACTTGAAAATAGCACTCTAAATAGTGTCTTGGATTCTGATTCGAATAACATGAATATTACGAAAGAGATAGGTTGAAAGGCGCGAATGTTATATACGGCGGAAGGTATGGCTAGGGGACAGACCATTTGATTTTTGATGATGTGTGGGTAAAATCCAAAAAAATATCAGGCAAGCACTTTGAACTTAAAAAAATATCGTGCAAGAATAAACGGACGAAAATATCGAGCAAGACTTTCGCGTGGTAATCCTTATTTGCCATTCGGTGCATTCCGCTTTACTCGAGCATATGCCAATTGTTTACATTAGTTTTGGTATAAAATAGGTAATTGAATAAGTACTGGTCTAAGTCATTGTGTAGCCTAAATAATGAGAGGTCCAGTATTTCAAACATGGTTTACTCCGACTCCTATGATGAACATGTACTTAAAAAACTAGGGAAACTACGATTATATAAAAACTAAAAGAGGTGAAATTTTTATGGGACACGATAAAAGGCGAGGATATAAGAGCAAGAGATTGAAATTCATTAGGAAAGGCAGCCCTGTACGCTTTTCGACCTAACAGTCTTCTTCAGCAAGGTTTTTATAAGAGGGTGCAGATAGAATTTGAAGAGGAGAAGAAAGGAGAGTTTAGGAGTTGGGAAAATAATGTAAGATCAAGAGAAAAACAAATTATTGAAATTGAAAATATAATTGAAATTATATAAGTAATTGAAAATAACCAATTAGTATAGGTAATCATGCGATGGCGAGTACAATTAGGGATTAATAGTACGAGTGATGTTTGGAAATTTTGCCGGGGCGAGTCCAATTTGGAAAATTTCCAAACATCACGAGTATTATTAATCCCTAATTGTACGAGCAACATCGCATGATTACTTGTTTATTATTAGCATGACAGAATTGGGTACTTCTCAATGTCAACATCATATTCTCTCGCCAAAGCCCAGTCCTGCCAGACTTTCAACCAAAATTTGGTGCATTTGTTTATATTTTCATTTAGTTCTTTTGTTCAAGCAAAATTTGGTGCTTTTGTTTGTAATTTCATCTAGTTCCTCCACGGCAACTTCATTTCACATCTGTGTATAAAATAAGTTTCCGCCATTTTGTTTGTTTTGGAAAAATCATTAATTGTACTGCAGTACAATTAATGAAATAATTGTACTCCTCTCAACCAATCAGCATCCAGTAATTTTGTCATGCTAATAATAACACAGTTAAGTACAAAAATGAAGGTGAAAGATAGTTAAAAAGGATGTAACTACTACATATTATTAGTCATGTTATCCTACCAAAGGTCTTGTTGTTGCGGGACATTCCAACACTACGCACTTTATTGTTTATAGTTCGTATTGGCGAAGTGAAGCAAATTTGCAGGTCCTTCAAGGGTTAACTTACTCAATGATATAGTAAGTTTGAATGATTGTGATGGTAAGGGTGGAGTAGGATTTAGTTTATAGTGCATGTGATCATGTGACTGTAGGTGATTGCATCCAGATATGGTGTTAGGAGTTTAAATCACAGGGATAGGGGCGTTTGGCAATTAGTGATACATAAGGGATAAAAATAATGACAACACCGTGCAGCTGGGGTTGATTTTTTTTAAACATAAGAATATACAATAATAACTAAAACATGTACATATATAACAAGACCAAAGCAGAGATTAGTAAATGATAAGAGATTAGTATACGATATGGCCAATTGTTAGCTATAGCTAGTTCTTGTGTGGATTTTGTTGCGTAGAGGATCCAAGTTCACATTATTCCCGAACTCCTAAACTCTCCTTTCTTCTCCTCTTCAAATTATATCTACCCCACCCCTCAAAAAACCCTGATGAAGAAGACTGTTAGGTCGAAACAGGGTTGCCTTTCCTACTCAATTTCAATCTCTCACTCTTATATCCTCGCCTTTTTTCGTATCCCATAAACATTTCACCTATTTTAGTTTCTATATATAATCGTAGTTTCTTTAGTTTTTTACATACATATATCTTCATCATAGGAGTCGGAGTAAAGAAATAAAGAACAACCATTTTTGGAATACTGGTCCACTTCTTATTTAGGCTACACAATGTCTTACACCAGTTCTTGTCCAATTACCTATTTTATACCAAAAAATGTAAAAACAAAAAACTAAAAAATGTACATACATGCATACAAAAAAATATCGTCCATGCAAGTCCTTTGACGGACAAAAAAATCGAACAGTGTCAGGTGATGGAAAACGATTATCGAGCAAACTGAAAATCTACCCCCCCCCCCCCATCAAAAATCGAATGCTCCGTCCCTTCAGTAGTAATACATTGTCGTACATTGTTTACATTGTTTGAGTGTATTGTTTGTAGGTA